ATCAGCTGTTTCCCCCACCAACGCCAATTATTGCTCAAAAGGGACAAACCAAAACAAACTATCAGTAAACAGGAAGACTCCTCAAATTCCATAAATATCAAGCTATACAGACAACAAGTCTGTATAGCTTGATATTTGCAGTGTATATCTGGGAAATCCCTCTTTGCTTCTGGCACTAGTGAGTTGGTTTGGGGTAAGTGTTATTATGGTTTAACATGCCAGCAGTTCCTCCTCATCATGAAAAAATCCACTAGCCTGTCAAACAACTGCAGCCTTCTTAGCGGAACACGTTGTCATTTGCTCTGTTGAAGTCTTACTTGTGGTCGATTGTTGGTACCACGAGAAGGAGTCAGTTTGTGAATTTGCAATGCAGCTGAACAAAATGTTCCTTTGTGATTCAAAGTGAAATGCAGCAGTGAGGTTCTGGGAGACCGCCGTGATCAAGAAGTTGTACCTCGGGAATGTGACATTCTAAACTAAGGCAAATGTGCACTGACAGGGCTCATATATATATGGCAGCAGACTGACGATGTTACTTTATAGGTGAATCTAAAAATCATACAGCAAAAACCTTCACAAATGCATTTCTGTTTCAGTTTTCATGGAAGATTGAGCTTGTTCCCTTCTATTATGATTATGTCTCAGGCTGTATAAAAGGTAACATTTTGAGTGTGCTGCATATTTAGCTCTTGTTTGTCCTAATGGTGCCCAATCAGTTCCACCAGGTCCACTCCAGTGGAGTAGGCGGCCTCTACACTGATTACACCGAACAGTGGGTATTTCCTACCTCTAAACCTCGCATATGGCTTGAGTAAGGCAATGGCTGAGAGACTACTGTTTCTCTCCACTACATCTTTATTTATTTCTCTCTCATTGTTTTAACAAAAAAATAAAACACTTTTTCTGGCTCTGCTGTCAAAATACTGACCGGGACTTCAGCTCAATGGCTGCTCGCATGAAGCCAAGAAAAATCCCACGAGACAAGCCTGGCTAACTGCAGTTTAATCCATATGATCACTATTCGTCTGCATGCTCAGCCACACCTACTGATGACCTATTGCGGTGAGGCAAACATATTTTCATTCAGTGTGTATTTCTCACTTCAGGATATGGATATTTTAACTACGCTGAAGTGCTGGTGAAGACGTATGTGCTGTGATTAAGCCAGTTACACTATATGGCCTGTGACATGTTCATCATAAAGCAGCAGGGTGGATGCTTCGCAAATTCAATGTCTTTTTCAACTAAAAATAAAATTATAGCATCATTTTGGTAGAAAATGCCATGTACACGACGATGTGCACATAAATGCTTTTAAAGAAAGTACTTATCTGAGCAGCACTATTTTTTTTTTCAAATAAGCAACTACTCTTAGCCTGAACATCTACTAGATATTGAATTATTATGTAAGGCAAACCTGACAGAAAATGGTCAGTAAAAAGGAAAGGAGTGAGACTGAAGAAGCTGGTGGTGGATGGATGGCATATCAGTGGAATCATATTATATCCACAAAGACCCAATAAAGTAATCCTTTCTGATGTTCCTTATGACATTTTTAACCTTCATACATATTTTGTCCTACAAATGCAATATTTTATTTTGAACCATTTGCCTTCTGTAAAGCACTTGGAACTGCTTGAACCTGTATGAAAGGTGTTAGACAAACAGTTTTGGTTGATTTGAATGATTCTGGAGGACTTATTCCCACAGTAAATCTCCCATACATAAAGCTATCTCAGAGAACCGGGGTTTCATAAACTGTGTGTGGAAGACCTCAGCATTTGATGCTAGTGCTCATATGTTTGTGTTAAACATTTCTTGGAAAGGGCAGCACATTACTTTGTGCTCCACATTCAAACATTGGCCATACTTCCTCTGCATTATAACTGCTGATAGAAGACAGATTGAACTGTATTTTTCATGGTTTTACAGACCTGCAGGGGTATTTGATTTGGCAAGTGGACAGCCTTTACCTCAAGGCACATACTGCAGGAGCACTGAATCACATTATTTTGGTTAGTACTGTGTTTGCATATTTGGCTGTCTTGTAAATTTCTGTTGTTCTCAGTTCCCACTGAGGATTAATAAAGTACTCTATCTATCTTTCTATATATCTATGACTTTATTTCTTTATTTTCCACAATATCACAGCTTGTGGAGAATAGTTTTACAGGCCTCTTTAAAAGAATTCAAACATTTAGAAAACACATTTTAAACCTATATCTCTCAGAAGTGAATTTTCAAAAATTTAAATTACAGATTGGACTTCTGATTGACAGACTGACCTCTATGTCATGTCCTCATGTTGACTACATCATAATGAACACTGACCAAGGTATCACTTCATAGTTTGAGCCCTTGAGTGTAGAGCACAAACCTTAAGAAAGTCTCTCTATGGTAAACCACACAAAACGTTGCATAATCGGGTTTTGGGTGTGGGGGGGGGTCCATGTAACTTATAATATGTCTTCAGCTGTTTGAAAAGCATTTTGTCTTGATTCCTTCTCTGACCCACACTGCTGTCCTGTGGCTAACAAAAGAGACAGAATGACACTTATTAAATAACTAGTGTACAGAATGTTACTGATCAACTTGTCAGTCTGCCATGACCATATGCACCTTGTGTGAAACATACCTCCAATAAACACACTTACCTCCTCAGGCACCACAACTGTTAAATCTCAGTGTGTGATAAAAAG